TTGGGTTTGGGTTCATGTACAGTTTGGGGAATCAGTTTGGGAGTAACAGGAGGGGGTCTGTTCTGTTTTCTCTAAAGGTAGGCTGTTATCTTCATTAGGAGTAGTGTTCCTGACCTTGATAGTTTTCCCCACTAGCTGTTTCCACCTTTTCAGCAATTCTGCAGTACAAATCCTATTTATATCATCTTTAGGTACTCCTGCCTTTAATAGGTCCACCCACATTTGTTTCCTGTGGATAACTAGCCTGGTTTTCTCTTCATCTCCTGTATTCTCTACCATATTCCTTTTCTTTGTTTGTTTCTGCTTGTTTTTTCTGTCTAGCCTTGACCTTATCTTCTGCTCTAACAGGTTTTGTTTTAGTCTTCTTTCGCTCCCCCAACCAGCTTAAAAGGGTAGTAGCTTCATGAATCTTTCTGTTTAATTCCAGGTTCCCCAGCAAGGACAATATAGGAGCACTGAGATTAAATGGCGCAGACTTCATCAGCTTAAAGCGCAGACAGCAGATGTAAAGGGTTCCATATCTATATACCCATCCATTCTGTAAACTTATTTAATCCAGTTATACAGCCCATCTCACTTAACCTGACAATACCCTCTCCTATTGTTTTCCATGAGTAGTATTTTCCAGGCCACTAGGATTAGTGTATACTCAAACTAACCTATCTCTCACAAGGTCTAACAGTGAAAAATTCACTGTAACCTCTTGGGCTTTTCATATGGCTGGATGCAATTGTGGACCATGGGTGAACACTCCCATAGCCATTGCCTCCTTGCCTGACAAAATAACACTGTATGCCCCTTCATCCCACAAACATAGGAGCCAACTCAATAGGGGTTTCCCAGAGCTCTGTTTATATTGTTTTGCCAGCTCATGGCGCTTAGCTTGTGTAAACTCCCTTACTTCTTCAAATTCCACATCTAATGTAATGCACTGCCCATCTGCCATATCCTGTCTATAATGTTGCCTTATCCTATGCTTGGTAATGAAAGGTCTGGCACATTTTTTTTCTTTTCCAGTGGGTGATCATCATAAAAAAATATCAAACTCTATCCCCTCATCCTCACTATCATTTGAGGAGAGCACATCCTCACAATCCCAGTTTTGGGATGTGACAATGGCACGTACTCTGGCTTTACTAACAGGTTTACAGCCCTTTTTTTCCTTAAGGCATTAATTGATTTGGTCATGAGGGCTGCACACTTGCAAATTACACTGTTCAACAGGTAAAAAGTTTTGGGCATAAAATTAGCTAATCTTACATAATTTTGGGGTGCTGAAAACGAAAATGCCCCTAAAAAATGTTGATTGGCTCTAGTTTCCATGATATATTCACCCATCTAATGACGTAAGCCATTCAAAATTATGATGCAACTTCAGCTGCATATTGCGCAATTGATACTGGTGACCAATAGAAAATTGCATGTATACTGAGATGATGCAATATTAGCCTTTAATTGCATCACTTCACTGCATAAAAGCTGCAGTATCTGTAGCTGATTGTAGTTCGACAGCGTCTTTACATTTCGTTTTATGCTTATATAGGCTACTCAGTAATGCCTCGAACTTGTGTGAATAAAGCAGATAATTTCTGCTATATCTGCGGTGAAATAACTTTTATCTCACAAAAAAGGAGGATAACAGGAATGATTAAGAAAGCCTACAACTTGTAATTTGGCTGCAAGATAGGAGACCAGGACAAGAGCTGGGCACCACATATATGCTGCAATTCTTGTGGGACGGCACTGGAGCAATGGTTGAATGGAAAAAAGGCATCTATGCCTTTCGCTGTGCCAATGATTTGGAGAGAGCCAACAGATCATGTTAGTAATTGTTACTTTTGTATGGTGCCTCCAATTGTAAAAGGGCTAATAAGAAGAAAAACGTTATCTGTGCACTATCCAAATATTCCATCGGCAATACGTCCAGTTCCTCATGGAGAGGGGCTACCAATTCCTAAAGCACCAGAATCCTTCGTGGTTGAGTCAAGTGAGGAAGAACCTGAAGCGTGTAGTCACGTGCAGTTGTAAGAGATAGCCCTTTCCTCGAATACAAGAGAAAAGCCAAGAGAAGCAAAACCGACACAAACTGAAGACAAAACTAGTGAGAATCCTAAGTATTAAAATGATTCAACTTGGCTTATGGCTATAATTTTTCTTGGTAATCCTATGCAATATATTATGCCATTTAGGCTTTGTTATGTAGTCAATATCACTTGCTTTATATTTGTGGAAAGACATCTATCTATATAATTATTGTGCATTATGTAGTCATTACGCCTATAGTAGAAAACTTTCCGTTTACAGAAAAACTAGAGCCAATTGACAAATTTCATTGTTATATTTGAACTCAGAATGTGAAATTCATTAAGAAATGGATCCTTTTGTTTCCAAAACTGGCAAAAAATAAAAATTTGTTGAACAGTGTTATCAACCCAACTGTCACTTGAACGTACACACTCTGAAGCAACTGCTAGCTGATCTTTTAATAGCTTAATTTCTGCCACTTTCTCCATCCTTTGTGATTCAGTAAAGAGAGTATGAAGAAAGTACCAGCTAAATTGGGACACTGTCTACTTCTTTGCTTTACCTAAATCAAACCCATCAAGGCTAAAATCTACAGAATTTTATCACCCCTTGTCTTATTCAAGGGAGAAGCATATATGGCAAATTCCTTAGCAAGAGGCATCCACTGATCTCTAGCCCAGGTAGGCAGGGTGCATGCCTGCTCCTGGAAACCATAAAACTCTATAGCCTTGCTTTTCCTAAATATCTTACACAGCATTTTTACTTAGTGCAAGCTACAGAAAACAGGTCTGTTTTGGGTGAACTTTAGTGTAAATCCCAGATGAGCCCTCAATTGTTTTGCTTTGCGTCTGTTAAGGTTCTTGTGGTAGAGCTTAGACCCCTGCAGTGTATTAATGTGCATTTATTAAAGTGGTAGTAAAGTCTGTTTTTACACTTCTACCTACAGGTAAGCCTATAATAAGGCTTACCTGTAGGTACTGAAATTATCTCCTAAACATGCACCATGTAGAAGAAATTCACCTGTGTAGAGCATGAGCTCTGAAGGAACGGCATGCCACATTGGCGTATCCTTTTTCTAACTATTACACTGATGTAAACATTCTCCAATTCAACTTCTACATTGTCTCATACATGCCTTAGGTTATATATGTCAAAAGGTCAAGCTGTTGTGATGATCAGGGATACTGACTGATGATAGTATGTAAAGAAAAAAAAATAAATACATTTTTAGCCATTTTTTAAACATTTTTTTTTCTTGTTTAACAATTTTATTGCTTAACTTTTTTTTACAAATTTTCATCAGAGTATGTCAGTGTCGCCATAGTGACACTGTATTGCTCTGGGGGGAGGTTGATCAGGGTTTTTTTTTTTTCTTTTTAACTGTTATTGCTTATAACAGCGATGATCATTGTTATAAGCAATAATTAACTGTCATGAATGGCTTTCCATTTATGAGAGCTTGTTTTTACTGTTGACATGCTCTGACTTGTGACTGGCTACAGCTAATTACAGGGTACAGAGTGCCAGGTACCATGTACAATGTAATAACTATGGGCCAATCACAACATCACAGCAGTAAGCAAGCTGTTCATGAACAAAAGCCATTCATGACAGTTTGCTTATATAATATCATGTGATCAATATGATTTGTCACAGAGATTACATGATACCCCGGCTGCTCACAGCAGCCAGGTACCAAGCACGATGATCTGCTGGGTCAAGCCACTGCGTGCCCCACGGGGTAAGCTGGTGCGCATGTGCATGGGCGATGTACCAGTACATCTCCGTGATTACCTGTGCTGCCCGCTCGCAGTACATTTACTGTGAGCTGGCTGGCAAATGGTTAAACTGCCTCATGGCTTCTTATATCTCCCAGGGACTCCAGTGATGAGATCTGTCCTCTGTTCCTAACATATTTTACATTTATTTTATATGGAGAATGGAAAAAGACAGGAGAAGTGGGACCATTATACCTGTGAAAAGAAACTGAAACCAGTGAGGTTCAAACATTATTTGTTCTGAAGCATCATAGTCTGTCTGACCATTTGTTAGGTGCTGGCAATTGTTATATACATATACAGTATCTATAATTACAGGGAAAAAGTATTTTTTAAAAGATTACAAACTATTTTTGTTGTATTAAAATGTTCTTTGTTTAACAAAATTATTTTCAGTACAAGGTACATCCATTATTCTTAGTTTTCAGAAAAACAGACTAAGGCTGCTATCACGCTGAGGAGTTTTTCAAGCGTTTTTGCATTTTAAAAAGTGCTTGAAAAGCTCAAGAAAACTGTTTCCTTATGTATGTGAATGTATATCTATGTACTGTATGTTTTCACACTGAGGTGTTGCGCTGTGGTGTGTAAAAACTCCTGCTTGCAGCATCATTGGGGCATGTTTGGGGAGTTAAAAAAAAAGCCCCAAAAACGTCTCTTCACATTGAAATCAATGGAAAATTCCTGAAAAATGCCCAAAAACCACCTTAAAAATGCCTCAAAATTGCCTCTGAGAAGCGCTTTTGGAGCAGTGTTTAAGTCATGTGTCCTTTAAAAAACACCCAGAAAGCACAGCAAAAGCATGGTAAAAGTGTGCTAAAAACACCTATGAGTTTTTTGCTGTGTTTTTGTGGCGGATCAGTGTTAAAGTAGCCTAATTATGATGGTCCTGTCTCTGCTAGGAAAGAGGGAGTGAGTTGGGTGTGCCTTTTCTGACTCATTCAGCTGTGTGTAATCTGATCTCTCCTGCTGTTTTGCAACAGAATTGATTTTTGAGCACCAGAAAACTAGAGCTGTTGTTTAGAAATTGCCACCTAGTGACAATAAGTGATATATATTTACCATATATTCTCATATAATATTTTATGATATTTATATTTTTTAAAAGTATATAATAGACTAAAAAAAAACCTCTAAAAACAATTTTTTTAATAAACTATAGTTAATATTTTCCTTTTTTTAAAATAGTTCCCCAAGTCCATGGCTGAAGAGGCAGTTAAAGTGGCCCTTGATGTTGGATATCGTCACATTGACTCTGCATTTATGTATGGTAATGAAGTGGAGGTTGGTCGTGCAATCAACACAAAGATTGCAGATGGGACAGTGAAGAGAGAGGATGTATTCTACACCAGCAAGTAACTGTTCACCCTTTGAATAAAAAAACAAAAAGGTGAATACATCAAACAGTAGTATCATCATACAAACCCTAGTCAAGGGATGGTGTGGAAAGATCCAGCTGTTGCAGGATTGTTGTTTGCAATGACTTGTTCGAATCAATGATTGTTGACACAAATATGCCCCAGCAAGCCTGTTTATGTTCTCTTCAGACACCCCCAATGTGGGACTTATCTCAGGAACAATGGTGACTAATGAATTCAGGCTGACCAGTTTTTTCTTGGAGTTCTCTGGGGTTTTCTGCAGTGTCTTCCACACACAATCGTTAGTTCTTCATATAGACAAACGTTTGGGGGGTCCTTCATACACATTAATGTTTGTGGGGCTCTTTCTATACCTATAATCATTTTGGGGGTCCTCCATACATAATGGATATACTGTATGTACGATCTGGTTAATTGGGAATCGGTTTCCGTACAAAAATGTATTATTCAGCCATTTGGATGTAAATGAATATCTGAAACAAAACAGAAACAAATTACAGTGAATCAAAAACAAAATTAAAATGAAATTTTTCTTAGCCATTCATTTATTTGGATGTCCAATCAGCTCATGCCGTTTCTCTTGATGGGTTGGACTAAAGGCTGTAAATATCAAATCTATCTGATTCGAAACTGGTCAGATTCAAAATTATATCGAATTATATCGAATATATAGCAATCTTCCGGAAAATCTGCAAAACTTTTCGAATCCGCCCAAACCAATGAATATATAAAATGAATGCCAAAGATATGATGCAAATCCCGAAAATGAACGAATACGAAAAAACAAAATGATCTACCTTACAAATGCATCTGAAACAAAACAAAATTTTCTGCTGTTCACATGTCTAATACATAATAGTTTAGAGGTTCCTCTATCACAAGTGATCATGTGTAGAACCCCGTGCACATGATCTTTTGGGGGGCCTTCACTTCATACACATGATCATTTGGGCCCCCTGTTATACACATTATTGATTGGGATTTTCTCTATACACGATTGTTTGGTGAGTCTTTGCATTACATGATTGTTTGTAGGCCCTCCGTAGACATAATTGTTTGGGATATCCTTCATACACATAATTGCTTAGGGGGATCCACCATGTACATGATCAATTTGGGACTCCTTGAAACTCATTATTGTTTGGAGTGTCCTCCATACACATGATCATTTGGGTAGTCCTTCTTACAGATGATTGGTTGGGGGGTCCTTCATAAACATGATCATTTGGGAGTTCCTCCATAAACATAACTGTTTAGGGATTCCTTGATTTACATATTTATGTGGGGTCCTCCATACCCATAATTATTTTAGGACTCCTTGATACACATAATTTTGTTGGGTGTGCATAGAACGTATTGTTTTGGGTGTCCTCCACTCACATGATCATTTTGTGGAGTCTTATACCCACATAATCTTTTGTACACATGATTGTTTGTGGAGTCCTCTGTATACTACATAATCATTTTGGAGGTTGTCCATAACCATGATTGTTCAGGGACCCCTTGCTATACATAATCATTTGGAGGGTGGTCTTCCATACATATATTTATTTGTGGAGTCCTCAACACACATAATGGCTTAGTGGGTCCTTCTTACATATGATCATTTCTTTCCAGAGATGTGTGCACAAAGTAATTCATCTCAACACACTCTTTCAGTAAGGCAGGAGCTTGGCATTTATGATTTCAAAAGGAACATAGTCTAAGGTGGTGCCCCTAAATTTCTAACTAGACCAAAGCCTTAGTATGCCAGTTGTATACATACATAATCATACAATCCTAATGCAAAAATAAGCAACATTTTTTTTTTCAGCTCTGGACAACTTTTCATGTCCCCAATTTGGTTCGTCCAGCGCTTGAGAGATCGTTGAAGGATTTGAATCTGGATTACATGGACTTGTTCATCATTCACAGCCCCCTTGAGCTCAAGGTCAGAATTCCTATTAGAAAGTAGTCATCACACTGGTGGTTTTTATTTCCCGTAACTATAAAAAATTATGATTGGCTTACCGTATATACTCGAGTATAAGCCGACCCGAATATAAGCCAAGGTACCTAATTTTACCACAAAAAAATGGGAAAAACTATTGACTCGAGTATAAGCCGAGGGTGGGAAATGAGGCACCTACTAGTCAATGTAAAAAATAAAATAAAATAAAAATAGTGCCCCATCATTGGTGTCAGTGGGAGGAATAGTGCCCCATCATTGGTATCAGTGGGAGGAATAGTGCCCCATCATTGGTGTCAGTGGGAGGAATAGTGCCCCATCATTGGTATCAGTGGGAGGAATAGTGCCCCATCATTGGTGTCAGTGGGAGGAATAGTGCCCCATCATTGGTATCAGTGGGAGGAATAGTGCCCCATCATTGGTGTCAGTGGGAGGAATAGTGCCCCATCATTGGTATCAGTGGGAGGAATAGTGCCCCATCATTGGTATCAGTGGGAGGAATAGTGCCCCATCATTGGTGTCACTGGGAGGAATTATGTCCCATCATTGGTGTCAGTGGGAGGAATAGTACCCCATCATTGGTGTCAGTGGGAGGAATAGTGCCTCATCATTGGTGTCAGTGGGAGGAATAGTGCCCCATCATTGGTATCAGTGGGAGGAATAGTGCCCCATCATTGGTATCAGTGGGAGGAATAGTGCCCCATCATTGGTATCAGTGGGAGGAATAGTGCCCCATCATTGGTGTCAGTGGGAGGAATAGTGCCCCATCATTGGTATCAGTGGGAGGAATAGTGCCCCATCATTGGTGTCAGTGGGAGGAATAGTGCCCCATCATTGGTATCACTGGGAGGAATAGTGCTCCATCGTTGGTGGCAGTGGGAGGAATAATGCCCCATCATTAGTATCAGTGGGAGGAATAGTGCCCCATCATTGGTGTCAGTGGGAGGAATAGTGCCCCATCGTTGGTGTCAGTGGGAGGAATAATGCCCTATCATTAGTTTCAGTCACACCAATGATGCGGCACTATTCCTCCCACTGACACCAATGACACTTGCTGACCCCTGTTGCAGTATGGTGCTGCTGCAGCCAGCATATGTGGTTGCAGCAGCACCTCTGCACTGTACACTTACCGGCTCTTCCCTCACTCGATTTTCGCGGGGTCTGCTCGGCTCCGCCTCCTCGCCCGTGATTGGCCGCCTGTGTACCTTTCCTGAGCTACAGTTCTGGCGGCCAATCACCGGTGAGGAGGCGGAGCCGAGCGGCAGGAGTGAGGGAGTGGCCGGAGTGACGGAAGGAGCAGCGCTTCCTGGATGGATCATCGTGGGAGTCAGGTAAGACTGCAGCCCTCTGCCCACCCCTGTACACGCCCCCCTTGACGGAGCCTCGCGCCCCCCCCCCGTTGACTCGAGTATAAGCCGAGGGGGCCGTTTTTCAGCACAAAAAATGTGCTGAAAAACTTGGCTTATACTCGAGTATATACGGTAATATCCATGTTACACTCATGCATGCTATTAATGTGTAAGTTTAAGACTTCCAGGTATTTATTATCTCTAACAGAGATCACAGTACTCCCCTTGATAATGTCTACATATGATTTTCTCTCCAGAAGGAAAGCATCATCTTTGTTCAGGCACCAACGAGGTCACCATCTGCAAGTATGCAGTGGTTGAAACCCATGTCAGGTTGTTTTACCACCTGACATAACATCAAGATGTGTGGTTATGAACACCTAGAACAAATGTTCATCGTTTTTTTTTTTTTTTTTTAACATAATCATCAAGAACACAAAATACAGACAATGCATTTTGGGGGAAGGGAATCCGCCTTCTCCAAGAGTTGAACAACAGTTTAAGATGAGATAAGAATAAAATAGAGTAGAAAGCCTTATGATCAGTCTAAAAATCGAATGGTAGGTGTATTGTAACTCTGAGAGACAAAATAGCAACAAAAAATTCAAAAGAAATGGATGTCTAACAAATGATGCACTGATTTGCATGTTTATGAGGGAAATAAGTATTTGATCCCCTTCACAAAACATGACTTAGTACTTGGTGGCAAATCCCTTGTTGGCAATCACAGAGGTCAAGCATTTACTGTAGTTGGCCACCAGGTTTGCACATCTCAGGAGGGATTTTGGCCCACTCCTCTTGGCAGATCCCCTCCAAGTCATTAAGGTTTGGTGGCTGACCTTAATGTGCTTCTTCTTGAGCCACTCCTTTGTTGCCTTGGCCATGTGTTATGGGTCATTGTCATGCTGGAACACCCATCAACGACCCATTTTCAATGCCCTGGCTGAGGGAAGAAGGTTCTCACGCAAGATTTGGCAGTACATTGCCCTGTCCATTGTTCCTTTGATGCGGTGCAGTTGTCCTGTCCCCTTAGCACAAAAACACCCCCAAAGCAGAATGTTTCCACCACCGTGTTTGACAGTTGGGATGGTGTTCTTGGGGTCATAGGCAGCATTCCTCCTCCAAACACAGCAAGTTAAGTTGATGCCAAAGAGCTCAATTTTGGTCTCATCTGTCCACAACATTTTGAACCAGTCGTCCTCTGCATCATTCAGATGTTCAGTGGCAAACTTCAGACGGGCCTGGGCATGTGCTTTCTTGAGCAGAGGGACCTTGCGGGCACTGCAGGATTTCAATCCTTGTCTGCATAGTGTGTTACCAATTGTTTTCTTGGTGACTGTGGTCCCAGCTGCCTGGAGATCATTGGCAAGATCCTCACGTGTAGTTCTGGGATGATTCCTCACTGTTCTCATGATCATTGTCACTCCACGAGGTGAGATCTTGCATGGTGCACCAGACCTAGGGAGACTGACAGTTGTTTTGTGTTTCTTCCATTTGCGAATGATTGCACCAACTGTTGTCACCTTCTCACCAAGCTGCTTGGCGATAGTTTGGTAGCCCAGTCCAGTCTTGTGTAGGTCTACAGTCTTGTCCCTGACATCCTTGGACAGCTCTTTGGTCTTTGCCATGGTGGAGAGTTTGGAATCTGATTGTTTGGTTGCTATTGTGGACAGGTGTCTTTTATACAGGTAAAAAATGAGATTAGCAGCACTCGCTTTAAGAGACTGCTTCTAATCTAAGCTTGTTATCTGTATGAAAGACACCTGGTAGCCAGAAATCCTGCTGAATGATAGGGGATCAAATATATTTCCCTCATGAACATGCAAATCAGTGCATAATTTGTTAAACATGCATTTCTGTTGAATTTTTTGTTGCTATTCTGTGTCTCAGTGTTGCAATACACCTACCATTCGATTTTTAGACTGATCATTTCTTTGTGAGTGGGCAAGCATTCAAAATCAGCAGGGGATCAAATACTTATTTCCTTCACTATATATATATATATATATATATATATATATATATATATATATACAATTGTGTTCAAAATAATAGCAGTCAGACATCACTAACCGGATCTATCACTGTTTTTAGTAGAAATTATATATTTCTACATGGAAAATAATTTACTAGTAGGTGTAGTAGAGTAATAGAAATCCAACAGACTCAACAGTCATGACATGCATGCTGCTGATTCTGTGTAATTGAATCAGTAATTGAAAGGGGCATGTTCAAAATAATAGCAGTGTGGAGTTCTATTAGTGAGGTCATTCATTCTTTGAAAAACAGGCAGCAATTATAGCCCTTATTTAAGGAAGGAAGGCAGCAAATGTTGTACATGCTGGTTACAGTGCATTTCTCTCTGAAATTCTGAGGAAAATGGGTCGTTCCAGACATTGTTCAGAAGAACAGCGTACCTTGATTAAAAAGTTGATTGGAGAGGGGAAAACATATAAAGAAGTGCAGAAAATGATAGGCTGCTCAGCTAAAGTGATCGCAAATGCTCTAAAATGGCAACCAAAACCTGAAAGAACCTGAAAAAACGTGGAAGAAAGCAAAAAACTACCATTCAAATGGATAGAAGAATAGCCAAAATGGCAAGGACTTAGCCAACAATAAGCTCCAGGAAGATCAAAGAAGGTCTAAAGTAACCTGTGAGTACTGTTACAATTAGAAGACGCCTATGTGAAGCCAAGCTATCTGCAAGAAGCCCCCGCAAAATCCCACTGTTGAAAAAAAGACATGCTGAAGAAGTTACAATTTGCCAAAGAGCACATTGACTGGCCTAAAGAGAAATGGCGCAACATTTTGTGGACTGATGAAAGTAAGATTGTTCTTTTTGGGTCTAGTGGCCGGAGACAGTTTGTCAGACGACCCCCAAACACTGAAATTCAAGCCACAGTACACTGTGAAGACAGTGAAGCATGGTTGCGCAAGCATCATGATATGGGGATGTTTCTAATACTACGGTGTTGGGCCTATTTATCGCATACCAGGGATCATGGATCAGTTTGAATACATCAGAATACTTGAAGAGGTCATGCTGCCTTATGCTGAAGAGGAAATGCCCTTGAAATGGGTGTTCCAACAAGACAACGACCCCAAACACACCGTAAACGTGCAACATATTGGTTCCAGACCAACAAGATTGACGTTATGGAGTGGCCAGCCCAATCCCCGGATCTTAATCCAATAGAAAACTTGTGGGGTGACATCAAAAATGCAGTTTCCGAGGCAAAAACCAAGAAATAGAGAAGAACTGTGGAATGTAGTCCAATCATCCTGGGCTGGAATACCTGATCACAGATGCCAGAAGTTAGTTGACTCCATGCAACACAGATGTACAGCAGTTCTCAGAAACAGTGCTTATACAACTAAATATTCATTAAGTTATTCAAAGGAAAGCAAAATCTTCAAACATTTTTCAGTTTATATAGTGAATGTTTGAGTTTGTAAAGAAGAATACAAACACTGCTATTTTTTAAACAGTCTAATATTCACTTTTCTTCAATTATTTTAGAGGAACAACACAAATTTGATATATTTTTCTTCATGTTTTGATTTGGAATAGAATATGTAGTGTTCCCAATGCATTTGTGTGTATGGAAATAAAAGCTATTAGAAGGATTTTGA